GGTTGTTTCCATGTCCTGGCTATTGTAAACAGTGCTGCTATGAACACTGGAGTGCACATGTCTTCTCGAATTACAGCTTTCTCTGGATATGTGCCCAGGAGTGGGATTGCTGGATCATACAGTAAGGCTATTTTTAGTATTTTAAGGAATCTCCATACTGTTCTCCATAGTGGCTGCACCAATATGCATTCCCACCAACAGTGTTGGAGGGTTCCGTTTTCTCCACACCCTCTCCAGCATTCATAATTTGTAGACTTTTTAATGATGGTCATTTTGACTGGTGTGAGGTGGTACCTCATTGTAGTTCATTCTAAAGCTAGTTCAAAGGAAGAGAAAAAACAAAGTCAATTTTGACTTTATTCAAATGAATAGAGGGTGCTTCAGGTGAGGAGAACAGAATGAGAAAAGACACAGGAAGTGAGAGAGTGAATGATAATTAAGATGAGCACATGAGTGTGAGGGTTGGGACAGGAATGAACAGGACGGTGATAGAGGATAGGACAGCAGAGAAATGGAGTTACAGAGGCTAAATATCCGTATGGTGAGTGATGGAAGGTAAGAAAAAATGTTAGGTCTACTCTTTAATAACAGACTGAGAAGTATGAGCCTGATCTAATAGACACAAAATAATGAATTCAGAAAGAGCATTCAGACAAAAAGGAGTGGGGACAGGAGCACCAGTCAGGAGGCCACTGCTGCAGTCCAGGCTGCGTAAGGAGGACGACAAACGCCAGGTACAACTGCTGGGTGTCAGGGACCCAGATCTGAGAGGCTGCTGCAGAAATCAGAGGAAGAGACGGCCGTGAGAGGCACCACCGAAGGAGAAGAATCAGAGGGTGGTGACCGAAAAGTAAGTACCAGGGAGAACTATCAGGTTTGGAGGCCAGGACCTCAAAAACAGAAGGAGAATGGTAGGCCCAGAGGTCAGGTGAGGTCTTGGGACGAGGGATGCAGATTTGCAAGTTGGCATCAAAGGGTAAGTGAAACCAACAGATGGAACTAGTCTCACGTGAGTGTAAGGACCAAGGAAAGTCTTGAGGAAGCCCACCAGCACAGGTAGGCAGGTAGGTAGGAAGGTGGGTAGGAAGGAGAGAGGATTAAAATAAAAGTGGACAGGGAGGCATATAAAAAATAAAAATTGTGCATTGTCCTTGCAAGAGAAGAGTTTTAAGAAAGCAACCGTTTCACTTTATTTCAGTTCACTTGGTATTTTTGGCAAATGGTAGGTGATTAGAGAGGACACTGGAGAGCAGTAATTAACGTCCTTTCCAAGAGGCACTGGTCCCAAAGCAATTAGAATGTACACTCTTTTGGTTCGATAAAATTACGTCTTGTTCTAATGAAAAAACTCTCCACCAATTAGATTCATCACAGATACTAGTACAGCATCTTGATTATTCAGGACAGATCGACAAATCAAATTCATTGTTTCCCACTTTGTTGTCTGCTCTAGGCTATTCCATTACTCAATAGTACTTCTGCTTGATTGAAGGCAGGGGAAAAAAAATCAATGGAGAAGTCTTCTTCTTTTTAGGTGAGTAATCATGAAAAGAAATGTGGGGGCAGTCGGCTAAGACGACCGATCAGATTGTACTAGGGGCTACGCGTCCTTCAGCCATGCCATCTATTCTTGTTCTCTTGAGAGCTGGTAGCTCTGCTTTCTTTACTCAGTGACTGTATGTGGTTTGCTGAAAACAGCTGCCACTTGGTCTCACTTGTTACAGGAAATGAACCCCTGACATTACCACCACCTGGAAATCTAGAGAAAGAACAAGGTCTAGGATCCTAGTCTCCATTTCCTTTACACCCCAGGACATTTTATTTCATTGAATCTGTTTTCACCAAAAATTAACATTTTAATTTGGAAAAGAAAGCTAAAATTAAACTTGTTCAATCCTCAATAGACAAATAAGAATCTACGGATATGCAGGAACTGAAGCAAAAAGATCTTGGTTTCAAAAAGAGCTTCACCATTTCTTGAAATATATGTAGAGAAACAGACATAGCTACTCATGTAAACCCAAGTATCATTTACTTTCATTTATTCACAACAAAACCACTAGAAAGTAAAATAAATAAATTTTTTTTCTTGTAAGTGTGACAAATGACAGCCTTAATGTGCTCTTAGGAGGCCAAACAACTTTTAGAATCAAAGAAAATTATATTTTTTGTAATTTTAATGAGCAATACATTTTTTCTTGTTCTTTAAAAAACTGTAAATCAAGTAACTCTGAGTTAATTAGATATTCAATGTATCAGAACATCCCAGCTCCTTACTGTTCTGGATGACTAGGGAGTAATTTATTAAATCGGAGTTTTTATTAACACATCCATCTTTGTTTTTTGACTGCATCTTGCACTTAAACACATGTAGAAATGCACCCCAAGAACTAAGCACCTAGCTTTGGAGCTGGGAAGGAGAAAGGGATGGAACCGCCAATGTCAGTAGTATACAAGCATCAGACGTCTACACTTTTTCTGTTCTTTTTGCATTTGTCTGTGAGAAAAAAAATAAAACTTAAATAAACAAACTACATTTTGGGTCTAAATGATCTGTCACCTAACCCACTCAAACTGAAACTAGGCACTGGTTCTTCATCTAAGACCTGTACACGTTTTAAGAGCTCTTTTTAAAGTTTCAATTCTACCTCATACACATAGAAGTCTGGATTCTTTGTCAATGCAAACTGACAGACATTAATCACTGGCATGAATTCAATCTGCTTTCATTTTTGACAATGTCGTAACGTTCACCTTGAGTTTGGATATGGTTACAGCTGTTACATATATGAGTTATACTTTATGTACTAGAATTTTGGTCATGTAAACAAAAACAAAAACCCAAACCATTATCTCCCTGCTTCAGTTTCCCACCCCTGACTATACAATGTCAGTGAACATTTCTAACGACTTAACCTCACATTCCTTAGCCTGTGTTCCCCCTCTTTTGGCCACCCTGAGAATAGGTCAAGGTAGCTGTTTCATCTACTCACAGGTCTGATTCTATGTCTAAATTTTTCAAGGATACATTCTGGTTGCCTCCTTTGCCTTAAATCTTCACAGAGGGTCCAGGGCATCCTTAAATCTGCCTGTCTTGGTGTGCCTGATGCACAGTGGGAAATCAGTCAAGTTCAAGCGCAGAAGTTCTACGTTGTCATCTGAAAAGCACAACCTCAGAGTCTCGAGAGACAGGGGCTTATGTGGTGGGTCTTATCTCGAGCACGCTCCACTCCAGCAACTGACTCACTAAATTAGTAAATGTGCATTTTTCAAAAGTCATTATAATGATGAGTGGCAAAGCATCCATCCAGAGGGGAGTCTCAATAAAAATGCAAAACTGTGGCTTTTATCCAAAATAATTAAAATAATGCAAGAAAGCATAACCTTTCAGATTAATGAAGATTCAATTACCAGAGAGCAGTAATATAGCCCCAGATTTTGAAAAACCTGAGTAAATTATTTATGTAAGGCACAACGCAACTATTTCTTAAATAAGAACAAGGTTCACGTACTCAAGTGTGAAATCCAGCTTTAAATACGATAGTTCATGCATTTCAGTTATTTCTAATGCTCAACTTTCATTTTATTCTTCTGTGGTTCTCAATTTGCACATTTGATTTTAATGTTTAAACAGAATTTCCACTGTAAGAATATAAAATCCTAGAACCAAAAAACGCAAGAATGATCAATTTCTATTTGGTGAGACCAGGAAATAGCCAATTCTTACAATGTTGTATTACCACTATAATTCAGACCCACCAGTTCTCAAAGTGTGGTCCACAGACCTCGGGGGTCAGCACAACTCTGAAGTCAAAGCTATTTCATAGTCATACTAAGACACTATGTGTCCTTGTCAGGGTGTGGACACTTTCACTAAGGGTGCAGAAACCACAACGAGTAAACCTGCTGACATCTCAGCACAGATCAAGGCAGTGACACCAACTTGTACCTGAAGTCACTGCATGCACTCACAGTGAAATAAAAAGCAAGCAAGCAAGCCAGTTTCACTTAAGGATGTCTTTGATAAAACAGAAAAAAATACTAATTTTCTTACATCTCCATCCTGGAGTATCTTTTTAATATTCTGTGTGATGTAATGGTAAGCACACATAAAACATTTCTGCTGTGTATATAAGTACAGTGGGTG